GTCGAAGGGATTAGACTGTCTGGCTGGTAGTGTGCTGAGATCTCCTTGGGCAGAGACTTTAGAGGAAACCCCTCACTCTTCTCTGATGATTCCCTGCATGAGTCACTCATTCAGCAATCACCAGAACCTACTGGCTGTCAGGCTGTGCATGAGGGAGAACGACAGACCCTGCCTTCATGGGGCTCATGGTTTGGCAAGAGAGAGGCGCATGCATAATACATCGCTCAGCACACAGAAGAGCTTAGGAGAGGCCTTGGAGCCGGATCTGGGTTGAATCTGTACTGTACCACTTACAAATGAGGGGGTGCTGGAATTTAAGTTAAGGAATTTGACTCAGTTCTGAGCTTCAGGTTCCTTATCTGGAAAATGGAACTAGTAATACTGACATCAGAGGGTTCTTATGAACCTTCACTAAGATCATGGTTGAAAAGCACTTAAGTCAGTAGTTGGTACATGGTGAACATTAACAAACCAATGACTCTTTAATTAATGCTTCATCCTGTGGCTTCTCAGGGGAAAAGACAAGATTAATGGCAAAGAAACCTCTTTGGATAGAAATAAGGCTTGACGTAAGAGCTCAGGACTTAGAAACAGAGGGCCTACACTTAACTCAAACTCTGCCACAGATTAGCTGAGTCACTCTGAGCAAGTCATTTCCTCTCTCCAGCTCTTTCCCATTTGTAAAACAATAGCAGTAGCAATCATCATCACCATTATTATCACTAACCTCATCATGACCATCCTCATCATCACCATCATCACCATCACAACCACTGCCATAACCACCAACACCTCCATCAACACCATCACCACCATCACCACCATCACAACCATCACAACCATCATAACAACTGTTCCCAAAGACTGAGGCAGTGAAGTCCCACTGGGCCCAGAGTTGATGACCAAGGTGTGTTGGGGGTAGGGGCTGGGACATACAACTTGTGCTCTTCCAAGCCACAGGGATCTATTTAAACAGTTATCTTATATGGTTTGTCAGGAGGGAAGACCACACCAATGAGGCAGGATTTAGGGAGGAATTTCTGAGATGAAATGGCAAGCCAAGTGGCTGAGAACCCAGGGGCCTGAGTAAACACTTGTATAAAATCTGACTTCACTGTTTCCACAAACCTAACTGAAGTGCTGGGAAACTCGTCAGCTCACATTGCATTGCAGGCTGGTTGCTGAGTGCAGGGTGTGTTGATTTAAGCTGCTTTCATTAAATCCTGTTCTCTGTGCCAAACGGGCAAGACACTCATCTCAGGCAAGAGATGGGTTCTCCTTCCTTGGGGGGCCAGATAGTGGGGGCTCATTTCTGCCAGCCCCACCACCTAGAGCCAGGCCTACAGGATGCATCTCCCTGCCTGCGGCTCCTAACGGAAGGGCTCTGAGCAGTGCCTGTGCTGGCCCTGCCAAGCTACCTTTGTCGGGGTTCTGATTTGTGCCAATCTCGTGCTAACCATTTGCCCTGCATTTTCGCACTGAATCTGTACAATGAGCTCATAGGTAATTTACCTAAAAGAAGACGTAGGGTCATGGAGGTGATGCGACTTGCTGAAGCCACTCAGCTGGTGGGGACCAGGTCCCTGGAACCAAAGCTCAGTGCCCGTTCACGGCCCTGTGGCCAACTCCCTGAGCACAACAAAGACAGTCCCTCGGTTACAGGGCGTCTGCTCAGTGAGGCCTGCCCTTAGTTCTAGGGCCCAAACTCCATCGTTCCCAAACAGCTTCCACTCAGTGAAAGTGCTGTTGGAAGGGAGGGAGGCGGAGGCGTGAAGGTTCCCTCCTGCAGGCACTGTTCTTATGCACACCGGCAGTGCGCAACTTAATCCCCACATGACCCTCCGAGGCAGGTACTGGTACTATGTCCATTTTTTATAAGGGAACAACAGGCAAGTCTGTTTCCAGTGGTCCACTGGTTAAGACTGTACTTCCAATGTAGCAGGTGCTGGTTTGATCCCTGGTCAGGGAAAGAAGATCCTTCATGCTGCACAGTGTGGTCAAAAAAAAAAAAAGGAAATTCAAGTCCCTTGCTAATGCTAAGGTCACGCAGTTAGCATGTGCAGAGGCGGGATGGAGCCCAGACAGGTATGGCTGGGACCAGCGGCAACGCCAATTTCACTAGCCTTCAAACTAGCTTCTGCTGGGAAGTGACGGCCAAAGAGGGGTGGCAGCCGTGGGAAGCAGTGCAGGGCGCTGGGCAGCAGGGCCAGGCTCGGCTTGGCCTCCCAGCTCCCGCAAACACAGGGTGCCTCACGTAAGTTGCTGAGCCTCAAGGTGAGGGTGGGGACCATACCATACCTGTTACTCTGCCTCACCAGCTATTGCTGCTTCTCTCTGTGTGTATGTTATGTTTGTGTGTGTGTGAAAAAGAGAAAGACAGAGTGATCTTTGTATGCTGTGAAGCATTCAACAAACAAATTGTTATCACTACTGCAAGCGGAGAGAGGAAATCTGAAGTCTTCTTTTAAATCTCCAGCCTCGTGGCAATCATGACACTGTTTTAGTCAGTTATAGGTCAGAGATTTAAAAACTATAATCCACGTTTCTGAAAGGGCACATTTCATCTTGCCTCTCTCAAATGTCTCCGTTAATGTCGAGGGCTCTCACCAACGCGTGTTTTAATCATACCCGTAACATAGCTAACCTTAACTGAGCCAATAGCATGGGCTGAGTAGTGTGCTAGGAGCTTGTATGCATTATCTTAAATAATCCTCTGAGTAAGGATTTCCCAAATACTAACCCCATGAGGTAGGTACTCTCATTATCATCATTTTACAGCTTGCAGGGGTGAAGCCACCTGCCCAAAGTTACAACTAGTAAACAGCAGGGCTGGCGTTTGAACTCATGGCCGTCAGACCAGGGGACTCCTCTTAGCACATGGAGCTCCGTGCCTCAGACTGGAGGCCATGTGCTTGATACCAGCTGTGGAGAGCAGGAGGCAGAGTTTAGGAAGATGGGCCCTCATAGCTCTATTCGAGTCCCTTTCAATGGGATCTTCTCTCTCCCTCTAAGGGGCCAACGAAAAGAATCTTTAGTGATCTCACTCAAAGTTAAACCTGCCTCCATCAGAGGCTGTGGAGTTTCATTGGGGATTAACAATGCACGGACAGTTATATTTCTATCATAAATTAGCTTTGTGGCCATATAATGAACAATACAACCCAGAGTAGCTATAAGAGGAACATTCATTATATTGCTATAAACAGAGCTATATAAAAAGAATTATTCCTAAGACTCCATGCATCTGCATTTGTGATGTCTTTACACAAGCTTTGCAGACAAAGTCCAAATTAGACCGCATGTGTGTGTGTGCCTGCGAGCATGCTTAAGTCGCTTCAGTTGTGTCTGATGCTTTGCGAGCCTATGGACTATAGCCTGACAGGCTCCATTGTCCATGGGATTCTCCAGTCAAGAATACCAGAGTGGGCTGCCATTTCCTCCTCCAGGGCATCTTCCTGACCCAGGGATGGAACTCGCAATTCCTGTGGCTCCTGCACTGGCAGGCAAATTCTTTACCACTGAGCCACCTGGGAAGCCCCTGAGACTGCATTTTAAACATCAATTCTCCATTCAGTGGGGAAAGGTAACTCCAGCTATCCCAAAGGCACGAATGCTGCACTGGATCTCATCTTTACAAAGGTGTCAACCATCTTTCCTGACCACTACCAAAACTGTTAATACACAAGATGATGAGCTGATCTGAGCTTCACTTTGTTTAAACAGTCTGGTGTGGTGGGGAAGGTGATTTAGGGTGAAGAAACATGGATGGCTATCACTTTTTAGCCATGTGTCCTTGGGCAAGATTACTTAGAAATTCTCTGGGCCTGCACTTCTATATTAATTGATGGCTCTTCATCTGTTTGTTTGCTCCGTCTCCTCCCTGCTTCCCAGAATGCAAGCTCTCCAGGGTAGGGACTTCCTCCCTCTTTACCCACTCTGAGTAGAAGAGTGCCTTGTTCAGTAAGTTTTCACTAATAAAATCTATGTACATAGGGAAAATGGGGATGATGATGCCTTCCTCACAGGGTTTTTGTGTGGATTAAACTGTTCAGGTGAGATGCTGGAAGTAACCACGCTTACCACATATCAGTACTGTGTTAGGTAATTCACCTATCTTCTCATCTACTCTTCACTTCAAGAGGGTCTCTAAATCATAAAGTGCTTATAAACAGAGGGTGCATGGGTGCATCCTAAGTTGCTTCAGTCGTGCCTGACTCTTAGCGACCCTGTGGACTGAAGCCCGCCAGGCTCCTCTGTCCATGGGATTCTCCAGGCAAGAATACGGGAGTGGAATTGCCATGCCCTTTACAGAGGGTGCTAATATATTATCCCTTAAACTCTGCATGTGTGAACTCTGGGGTGAATCAAATACCACAATCAAGAGTACATTCAGTCATGTGTTTGTCATTCATTCATTTGTCAGTGTCTATGGGGCAGCTGCTGTGGGCCGAGGGTATGCTGAATCCTGGGGATGTAGGGGTAAGAGATGTTTGCTGTCTTCCTGGAACTTACCATCTCGTAGATGATCTGACCAGAAAGGCAGGTGGGGGCCACATCACTGAGTGCCCTAACTATTATATTGAATCTGGACTCCATCCTAGGGAAGAGGTGAACCCAGAGGCCCACCCCTGCAGGACTCAGGGAGCTACACTGTTCCCTATGAACTTGCCTCTAGGATGGCCACTGTAACGTGAAGGTGAGAAGTCAGTGCATCGCATCTATGGTAACTAACATGGTCAAGGGGAGATGCTTTGACTTTCAAGGCCATCATTACGAAAGGAATGGTGTGAAGACATGATGGATGAACTCTCTGTTCACCTAACAGTACAGGTGTTGAGGCTGGAGTTCAGCGGAAGAAGAAAGCGTTCGGGGTCTGGGTGACTGCCTACTACATGACCAAGGGCAGGACGAGGGCCCTGAACAGGACTGGAAGGCACACAGGTCACAGTGGAACCTCCCCCACACTGTCCACACCGCTCCCTTACTCTCCCCACACCTACCGATGGAACAGTCGTGTCCAGTCCAGCTCGGGTCACAGCTGCAGAGCCCGGTGTCCGGGAGGAAGGTTCCGTGGCCCGAACACTGGTCCAGGCAGGTGGCCCTGGGCGTCTCGCAGCTGGCGCCTCCCCAGCCCACAGAGCAGTGGCACTCGCCTCTCACGCAGACACCGCGGCCCGAGCACGTGGGGTCCATGCAGTCCACTGTGACACCGGGAGAGAGAGCACGGGTGAGGACTGGACCACTCAGGCTGGAGGCTTCTCTAAACAAAACGCTATGCCTGCACTGGGGCAGCCTCACACGATCGAGGAGAAGGACCCAGATGTCCATGGAAGTCTTGATAACACTTGATAACCGTGAAGAAAATGACTCTAGCAACAGTAGACCCGGGTTCTTGACTCCACCCAGTGGTCAACTGTTTATCTCCCGAGTCTCACTTCCCATGCCTGTAAAACATGGATACATAGTCCCACCTCTTGGTTTGAGGGTGCAGAGAGCAAGACATATATGTCCCTAACAACTGCAACAATGGAGAGAAAGACTTTGTTTTGTTCCCTTCTGTAGCTCCGCCTCCTAGAATACCGCCAAACACAAGGGAGGCACTCGAAACATCATCAGAGAACAAACTATTTGTGTTTGCCACATCACGATGCAGTTTTACTTCTGTGACTGTGGGACTAAAATAAACAAATTCCTTAATTTAAATGAGAATTTATTTTGCATTTAAATTCCCTTAGATTTTATCATCCTCCCCAGATTCTGGTGATTGAGACAAACTTTCAAGCCTCACTTCCCACACATATATTTGTCTGGAAGTGCATCCAGGCAAACATTTCAATGATTATTCAAAATTACATACAGTGGCTGTATTTAGCTTCTCCTCAAGTTGGGCGGGGGGGGTGGTGAACTACAAAGCTATAGCTCAAACCAAGCAACTCCCCACAGGCTCTTAGGGGCCAAGGTCTAAGTGGTCTCAAGAGACCACCCCCCAGAAGGAGGGAGGAGAATACTGTGAGTTACCTGCTCTTTGCTAGTGTGCTAGGAAGTGGGTCATAAACCTCATCAGGTTCCGTTTTTGCAATAATCCAGTGAGGTACAGAGAAGGAAGCCGAGGCTCAGAGAGGTAAATGATTTATAGAAGGACTTCCAGAGCAGAATCTGAAGACAGGTCTGTCTGATTCTGAATCCGGTGATAGCCCTGCCCCTGGGACTAATTTTCCTAAACCAAAGCTTTAGTTGTGGGGTTACACAAAGTTACCAGAGACCATTAATCCTCTGCAAAGCATTTCACAGAAAAAAGGAGAAGAAGCATATTAGGGGCTAACTTAGCATGTGGCTCCAGTGCATGTGGAAAGTGCAAAAGGCAGTAGAGAGGAGACAGAATTGGCAAAAGGCTGGTCCACGTTCTCTGCTCAACCAAAGAGTTGTTAGATCACTCACGCACTAGAGGGAGAGAGGGAATTCTGTCTGTCTTGCAAGTGGAAGGGGACAGTGAGGTGGGGCTCACTGAGCAGCTGTTTTTAAGAGTGTTGATGGAGCTGCTATGAACGTAGCCAGATTCTCCCTTACAGGGGCTCATGAGGAAGCCATATGCTGCAGAGGAAATAGTTTAGCCTTTGACCTCTGAGGTCCTAAGGTCAAAGGTCACAAGACAAACCGAAATGGGTCTATGAGTATGGCTGTTGTCATGTGTCTGCTTTGAGCTTCCATGTATAAAGCAGGTTTGGCGAAATTTCCTACCTCTCAGGTTGCTATGAAGACCAAATGACACTGAGGATTTGAAAGGACACTATAAACTGTAAACTGTTGCAAAGAAGTTACCTGTCCACTCTACCAGGACATGACTTGGGCACTGTGGTTAGCACTCATTTATAATTCAGATGTGCTTCTACTTTATCTGTCAAGCTAAATTTTATAACCCAATGTACCTGACTTTTCCACAAGAGTTGGGAACTCAGCTGGAGTGTATTAGAGTCAAAGACACAAGTGGGCAGAGACTTTACTAAGAGCACCATTCCGGGAACAGGTTGTTTATTTTGAGGGTTAGCTTATTAAGAAAGCTCTTTCACAGTTTGGGTTTTTAAAGGCATTCAATGTAACTACTTCAGCTATATGTAAGAAGATCAAAGGTCTGGAGCAACCACTGGATTAAAAACATAGTAACGATAATAGCAACAGTAACAATTAGTGTTAAGTTTCTCTTCTATGCTATATCTTGCTATTAAACCTTTTATATACATTGTCTGATTTAACCCTAACAATAACCTTTGAGGTAGATACCACTGTTACCCTCCTTTCACAGATGAGGAAACCGAAGTACAGACGTTAAATAACTTGTCCAAGAATACACAGTGGTTAAGTGGACGATTTAAATTTGAAGCACTTTTTCCTGGTATAAATCTCTTGATATTTCCTTTGCAACCTTACTGGTTCCAGAATACATGTAACACATGAATACAGACATAAGCACACAAAATGGTTAAAAATAGAAATCAAAAGAAAACAAAACAATGAAAGAAAGGGGCAAAGTGGAGACTTAATAAAGCCACAGGAAGGCAAAGAATCTGTTCTCTTGCAGTCTCTGGACACCACTTAATAATGGTTTACACATGACCTGCTGGAATTTCTGTTAATTAAAAATGATAAAAATAATAGTTGTGATAAATTTTCATGACCTGCCTCAGATCCCAGGACCTCAGAAGGATTATTCTGGCCCATTAGGCTGCTAGGATAATTCCCCAGACCCAGAGAATTTTCCAGTTTGACGGGAAATGACTCAGCAGTTCCTATCCCAAGACCTGTAAAGGTATTTCCCGTTCCGTGAGTGCCCGGACCCCAGGGTGGGGTTGAAGCTGTCTCTGAGGCGCCCTTGAGGTCGAATCTATAAATCTGCAGTTAGTGGAGCAAGCTGAGAGGGTGCCAAGTTCAGCAAGAGGTGTTTGGTGTCACAATCCTGTTTCTCAGACATAGTAAGTCTGATGCGGACCCAGAAACCAGCAAAGTGAATCCGATGTTCTCAGAAGCTGGTCCAGGCAGGGAAGAGCAGAAAGAACTGATGAGGGGCTACCTCTAGGCAATTCATCATCAATTAATCATTGCTTCGGGAGGTCAGCTTGGCAAAGCGAGCATGGAGCAGTGCAAAGGAGTTCTAAGGAGGCCCATGCCTTGGGGGCACGGCGGCTCCAGGAAACCTTGGCTGAACTGACTGAGGTTCTTGCCAGAACATGGGCCCAAAGCCAGGGTGGTTATCTATGCCACAGTGACCCTCTGCCAAAGGTCCCATGTTGACTGTGCATCTGTACACCCTCTCTGGGGCCTCTAGGGAAGCGGGACCCCTAGGATGGCATTAAAATGTTCTCTCTCCATCACACTGGGATAGTTTCCCTAACACTATTTATTTGGCAGGACGCTGTGTGTAACATGGGAAGATCGGCAGGCTTGGGGTCGGGGAGCTAAAGGAATACGGGAGAAACTGGCAGGGAGATAGGCCCAGCTCTGGGTAGAAGACAGTCTAACTTAGTTTCTTCTTAGAAGAGGAGCCAAGCAGTCATATTTTGTTTTTCCCTTTGCAGTGCCTACCATTCAAGCCAAAATTTCTGGCAGATGCTTGGCCTGCTAATGAGATGATGGGGCCTGCATGGCCAGGCTGCAAACACAGCTCGTCTCCCCAAATGTTCCACGCTTCGGTGACCACACAAGCTACCCCCGAGGCACTTCAGGACCCAAAACACAGCGGCTCACTTTTCACAGTAAAAGGTCGAGGTCAGCCCCTCTGCCCTTCCCCCAGCTCCCTCTAAGCGTTCTGTCGGTGCAGTTCAGGCTTTAAAAAAAAAAATATGGGACGATAAACTTCAAAAGCAAGGAGGAGAGAGCGAAAGCAGTCAGCTTGTTAGCTGATGTTTTATAAACACAGTGAAGAAACCTGTTAGAGCAGACAGGGGACCGGGGGATCCGGGGATCGGATGAAGGCCCAGGAAAGCCCCACTCAAAACACAAGGACTCTGCAAGGATGCTTCAGCAGAGAAACAGAATAAGAGGAATCAGTACCAGATGGCCCTTCTCGGAACAGAGACCAGGAGTGAAAACACTTCTTTTCAAACAGTAATGTAAATCGAATTGCTAAACAACTTCTATCTCTCTGTAAGTGACCTTGCCCTTTGGGGCGCTGCCCAGGGCTGGCTGATCAGAAGGACAACTTCTCCTCCTGGACCCACACGACACAGTGGGACCCAGGGTGGGACAGCCCCACCGTTTCAGGAGGGATCTCCTCTTTGTTTCTCTTTTCTTTACAGCGACTTCGCCCCAAAGGACGAAAATGAAAAGGGGAAGGTCAGGATGAGAAAGCCAACGCCTTTGTTCAAGGGAACAGGGCCCCTGGTTGAGCTCAGACAGCCCGAGGTAATCCACATCAAAGTTAATAGGTCTGAATCAGGACCTCCAGTTACACTCGGGGAGAGCAGACAGCCCGTCTCTCAGAGGAGACGGATGCTTTCCAGACACTAATCCCTTCCCGCTCCCTGTTCTTTTAACACGGGCCCATTATGTTCTCTCATTTTAGGGGAAATGATGCTTTGAGAGGGAACTACTTATTATATCCCCAGTAGATTAGAAGACTAGCTCTCCCTGGAGCCTCTTGCACCCACTGGAGAAAGTGCTAGGGCCCTAGACAGTAAATAGTGGGAGGTTATGACCATTAGCATCACCCATCGGCTTCAAGGTCCATCCATTTTTAAAGGCCTTGGATACAGTGAATGGAGTGAAACCGGAAACATGCTTCAGCTGTCTCCAGAAAGTTGCTAACAATATAAGAGCTAACATTTAGGGAGCATTTCCTATGTGTCAGACACTGAACTATGTACTTTACATGAGTTGTTTAATCCAGTCCTCACAATGACATTCTGTGGAAAGGAATTCCCATTTTACAGATGAGGAGATGGAGGCTAGTGAGTGTGGCAGAACCAGGACTCAAACTCACATCTAATGCCAGAGTGTGTACTCTTGACGGCTACTCTCTATTGCTCGTGATAAGACACCCCCCTCACCTATTGGGAAATCCCACGTGGTCAGGAGGAAAGAGAACAGGGTTTGAGGTGAGAAGACTTGGGCTGAATTCCGGCCCTGCCATCAGGCAGTGCTATGACCATGGGTATGTTGATGCCCTTCCCTGGGCCTCAGGGTTTTAACATGTGAGATAGACGGTTTGGCTTACTGCACCTGGCTAGGTTTTCTGGGGAACAACTAACGCCACTGCTGAGTTAGCAGTTCACTTGTAAACCTTGTTCTGTACAGGCATGTATTTACTTTATGAATGAGGGAGATACGCTTATGAACACCTAGGAGCTATAAACAAGACCACACACACACACACACACACATATACACACATGCAGAGGGGTGTGACAGTGGAAGGCAACCTTTGGAGGTCTGCAAGAGATGCATATTCAGAGATGGAGAGCAGAGATGCTTAAAGGGGAGGAGAAAGACCTCAGACTGTGGAGCCAGCAAGACTGGGCTCAAACCGGCTCTGCCATCCACCAGCTGTGGGACCTTGGGCAGGCCATTTGTGTCCCTGAGCCTCAATTTCCTCAACTATAAAATGGAGATGATTACCCCTCCCTGGGAGGTGTGTGTGCATGCTCAGTCAGTCAATCACGTATGTCCGATTCTTTGTGAACCCATGGACTGTAGCCCGCCAGGCTCCTCTGTCCACTGGATTCTCCAGGCAAGAATACTGGTGTGAGTTGGCATGCCCTCTTACAGGGGATCTTCCTGACCCAGGGATTGAACCTGTGTCTCTTATGTCCCCTGCATTGATAGGTAGGTTTTTCTTTTTTTACCACTAGCACCTACATGGCTCAAATGGTAAAAGAATTTGCCTGCAATGCAAGAGACCTGGGTTCAATCCCTGGGTCAGGAATGTTCCCTGAAGAAGGGAATGGAAACCTGTTCTAATATTCTTGTCTGGGGAATTCCATGGACAGAGGAGCCTGGTGGGCTATAGTCCATGGGGTCGCAAAGAGTTGGATACAACTGAGCTTTCACTTTCAGCACCTACTAGTGCTGGAAGGTAAATGACGCCAGGATTCTGGCCCAGAACCTTGCATACAGTTAGTGCTCAATACACACCCTTCTCTTCCCCTCCCTGAGCGGGACCTGTCCTCTCCCTTTAGGTTAGTGACGGCTGCCAGTGACGTCCTGGCTCGGGCTGGGGGTGGCGGTCACGGGCCTGCTCTGGAGGCTCCCTCTGCTCCTGGGGAGGCCCGTCTGCCGCCTCGGTCTCACGGGGAGGAGTGAGCTGCCCCCCGCCCCACCTGGGGCCCTACCTTCCTCGCAGTTCTCGCCCTTGTAGCCGGGGTTGCAGATGCAGGTGCCCATGATGCAGGTGCCGTGGTGGCTGCAGGCCACGTCGATGCACTGGTTGGTGGGCACGTCGCACTCGGCGCCCTTCCAGCCGCTGTGGCACAGGCAGCGGCCCTTCATGTACTGGCCGTTCCCGCTGCAGAGCACGGGGCAGGAGGCTGCGGAGACAGCGCCAGGAGTCTGGCATGGATGTGCGCCCCGGTATACCCCGTCGGTCCCTTCCCCCCCCCACCCAGGGTTCAAGTGCTTTCCCATAATTCCCATGTGTGTCCACCTGTCTGCTTCGCTTGCTTTATTTCACTCCAGTTAAAACACGTCTGGAACTGTGGGTTAAAGTATAGAATGCAGGGCCTAAAGAATACAGCTGGGGCCCTCTGAACGTTGCTTTCTCCTGTCCCCCTCATTACTGGTGGTCGCACACCGGTCGCCAGACTCCTTAGACAGGAGGCTTCAATCTGTTCCTTGGGCTGGCTGCAAAAGACAGCATGGCCTCCTGCTCACCCGGCACCCCTCCAGCAGCACTCTCCTCCTAGTAGCACTGCATTTCGCTTCCTCCATCCTCACGTGCTGGATCACTTGGTGTCATCTTTAACCCAGTCACTCCCCAGCTTTCCCCGTCCTTCTGGCCTCCACTCAAGCCCCACATGCCGCTGCTCCAATAAGAGAACAGCTGAGCCCAATGTGGCTCTTTAAAGTATTATCTTTCTACTTTGCCACTTAGCGTAAAAGGTTTTGTGATCATCTGTACGAAGGACACTATATAAAAATAAATTACGTTGCATTGTGCTCTAAGTACCGACAGCCTTACCGAGATACAATAAGGCTGTTTTACACGTGACTCTTAACTTTAAGTGCATATGGGATGAGACAGTAATTCTTGTTAGGAGGAATGCTTCATTTTCTCTCTGCACCACCTTCCCCCGGCTCCCACCTGGCCTCCTTCCTTTTTAAAGCACTCAGCAGGTAATCACTATGCTTCCTCAGGGCTGCTGGCTCTGCTGCGTCAGCCTGAGTCTATGCTGCTTCACGTTAGGAAGGATAAGCAGGAGCCCCAGAGCAGCATCGCGGCGTGGCATTTGGAGGGCGCTGTGTCCTCAGCTTGGAAAGCCATCTCTGCCTTCCGCTGATGAACAAACTCAGGATCTGGTCTCCGTGCCAACGTCACTTCACCTGCAGAGCCTTTCCTATTCCTCATTTCACCCTCCTTCCACGCTGACAGATGTTTCTGCATCTAACTTGCTCTAGGCTGCTTCACCTGTCACTGACTGCTCTGTCATCATCTGTTTCTCTGTCACTCTCCCAGACTGAGAGGTCCTGGGCTTCAGTCTTGCTCAGCATTGCAACCTCAGTGTCCAGCACAGGACCAAGTCCTAAAGTGCGCTAAGCAAACGCCTGTGGGATGAGGGAAGAGGTGGAGAAACCAAAGGAAGGGCGCTTTTCGTTTCCCCAAGGGGAGTGCCAAATTCTCAGGACCACCGATCATCCTGTAGCATTTTTCTTGTTAATTCTTCCAGGATGGAAACGAAACCTGAATGCTCAGGCAAATCACAGGCAGCCTTTAAACGCTCCCCACAGTGGTTACCATTTGCATCCTACATGCCTGAAGAGGAGGCAGCATTAGGGTCCCGTGTGAAGAGAAGTCTCGCCTCCCAGTCCCTCCCCTTGGGGGTCTCAGCTAATACCCCGCTTGCGCTGTAATAAGACACCAAAGGAGCAGCAGCTCAGGCCCTCCCCAAGGCCAGAGACAAACCACATTCACTGGAGATGCACTTCAAGGACGCTTGGCAAACGCTGACCGGTCCTCCAAGGGGAAATCTACTTTTGCAAAGGACCCTGTGGCCACCGCTCTGGTTTCCACAATGGACACGGGTTCCCTGTGGCCGCCCTTCCCTCCTGATCTCCCCGGGCGTGCGCCGTGGATAACACGACCTGGACAGGGCTCTGCCTGCAGACCTCCCCCGCAGGGCTCCGCAGGACCGGCCCCTGCGAGCCCTTCTCGCGACAGGCAGGAGCTGGCTGCGATTTCTGCCCTTGCCCCGAGAATGGGGACCCACAGGCTCCTGGGTTGGGGCGGGGCGCTCACCTCGGCCGCAGTCAGGGCCCAGGAAGCCCAGGAAGCAGTGGCAAGTCCCGGAGATGCAGTCGCCGTTACCATAGCAGTTGCTGGGACAGTTATCCACCGACTCTGTGGGAGAAAAGAGAGACACAGCTGCAAACAGAGGCTTCTTTACCCGAACAGAGGGCCTGGGAATCCAGCCTCGGCCTGTCCAGGGCCCACACATTCGAGCGCTTTTGACGCAGTCACTGTAAGTCGCTGAAAGGAGTCGATAAAGTTAAAAATGTATGTTCTGTTTACTCTTGCTGAGGTCCATCTCAGCTGACATTAAGAGATGTGTTTGGGGAAATGTGTCCCTAAACCAATTTTTTATACATCAAATTCGTATCTACAAATGCAGAGAAATTTTTCGGCTAAAAACACTGGGAGCAGATACATGGTTTAACCTGTTAGTGGTTATCTTTGGAGGCTGGGTGATACGTATGGTCTTGACACTTTTTTGTGGTTTATATTTTTCTCATAGTAGGCTGATAATCTGTGAATCCAGTCCCCCCCCCCCCCCCCCCCCCCCCCATCACAAAACTACTGGGGATTTGTAAATCGGTCTCTTCCCACCTCTGATTCTCCATCTATCAGTCCAGACTCCACCATGTCTCACAGGGGCTAACACAACAGCCTCATGGCTGGCCTCTTCCTCCTACTCTGATTCATTCACTACCTAGCAGTCTGAGCCACCTCTCTGAAACAAATCTCATCCTATCCTTCTCCTACTAAAAACTCTTCAGTGCCCCTGCCCCTCATTTGCCGAAATGAAAAGAGCCAAGCTCCTTCAAAAAGCATCGGAATTTTCCTTCACGCCCACTTTGCCCTTCCCGTATCCCCGACATCTGCAATCAGTGCCCACTTTCTGCAGGGCTGCTCCTTTCTCTGACACATCCTGGTACATTTGGTACCACCTGTGTGATGTGTCAAGGAAATACAGGCTTCATTTCAGGAAGCTTTTAGTAAAAAAAACTAAGCAATGGTTTGTTGCTCCAGTTAGTACACATGCTATATAGAAAATCTGTTTATTTGTACCAGCCCGTTTCTCAATCACGCTAGATATAGCATAAAGGAAGAAGCCACTGTATTTTGAATGGCTCCTTTGTGCCATCTATTTCCACAAAGCTTATTTCATCGTGCTGCCACCAAATCTTCAAGTGTATCAATATTCCTACTTTACGAACAGGACAACACGAGGAGGCTGATAAAGAGATGAAGGGACTTGCTGAAGGCCTCAAGAGATACTAATTCATGGATTCCGAATCTGAATCTAGGCCTTTGGACCTCAAACCTGGTTTTCCCCAATGATGCTGTGTCATCTGGACCTTGAAGGAAGTTCTCGGCACAACCAGGAATGAAGGAGGCAGATCTGTGACCCAGTGAGGCCAGTCCTGATGACAGCAAAGGACCAGTTGGAAGGTAGTGAATTCCAGGACTTTCAGAGCTTGAAGGGATCTAGGAAGACCTGATTTTGGGGCCTACTCTTCTAGAATCATGTTGGGTGACCTAAAGCAACTTCCTCCCCACCCCCCATTTCTGGGCCTCATCTTCCTCATATGTGAAATGAAGATGATAGCAGAGATGATTCCCAGGACTGTTTCCTGTTCTAAAATTCTATAAGCTTCTGTGCAGAAAAGGCATCCTGACAAGGGCAGCAAGCCTTAAATCACCAGGAAATCACTTAGGGCCAATGCAACAGCAGCTGATATGGGGCAAAACCAGCAGAGGAAGGCTTCTGGGAGGAGATGAGCTTGAAGGGTGTCTTGAGTACGGGTAGATAGTGGAAAGGTGGGGAGATGTTGAGGAGCTCACGGCATGGGGCGTTTCCCAGAAAGATCTTTTTCCCAGTTGTCTGCCATTACCAACTTGGAAATGACTGAAAAGGGGCTCAAATGTGCAAATGAGTGGGAAATTTCCTTCACTTGCTGTCCCTCTGATAATATCAACAGCATACTACACCAACACAGAGTTAAGAACAAGAGGGTCTAATCTAGTCTGTATTCTCACTTCAAGGATTCGGAAGCCATTTGGGACCCGGCAGAGCAAGACTCACAAGCCAGAACCCTGAGCATCTCAGCTCTCCACTGGCTTTGCCTGGAAGAATGTGCTCAGTCACTTGTGTCTGACTCTGCAACCCCAGGGACTGTAGCCCACTGCAGGTCCACGGGATTCTCCAGGCAAGAACACTGGAGTGGGCTGTCATTTCCTCCTCCATTTGGGTTGGGATCTTCCCAACCCAAGTCTCGTGCGTCTCCTATATTTGGCAGGCAGATTCTTTACTACTAGCGCCATGTGGGAAGAATCTGCATGCCTTTAAGTTTGTAAAGCCTCTATGTTAGGAGGGGTTTCTTAGAAACGATTTTTATAAAGGATAACTTAGGATGTTTCCTCTTTAATACTCTTTTTAACATAAGAGAGGCTTCCCTGGCAGTCCAGTGGTTAAGAATCCTCTTGCCAATGCAGGGGACATGGGTTCGATCCCTGGTCCAGAAAGATTCCACATGCCATGGGGCAACCAAGCCTGTGTGCCCCAACTACTGAGCTCACACTCTCTAGAGCCTACGTCACAACCTAGAACCTATTCTCCGCAACAAGGGAAGTCAACACAGTGAGATGCCCATACATATCAATGAAGACCCAGTGCAGCCAAACAAACAAAAAAATAAATAAAAACAAGAATCTTAAAGCAAAGTTTAAGGCAAGATTGTTTTCACTTTAAGCTTCAGGCTAAGGGTGCAGTTTGAGGGTGGGCTCCATCTGCAGTCTTGCAGAAGGAGCAAAGGAGAGAGAAGCCAAAGGCCTGCTTCCATCTCTTGTTTCACTGCGGAAGGGCTCTGGGACCTTGGTCTCATCCCTTGATCTTCCTGCACCTGCGTCCTCATCCCTGCATTTGCTCTTCCCAATCTCCCCTGATGGGCGACTCCTACTCCTACTCAAATCCAACTCAAATGTCACTTCCTTGGACAAGTCTTCCTTATTCCTTAAACAGGCTAAGTTACTCCTGGGACTTTTTCTGTCACTCCTATCTATTGAAGGACCAGGCAGCCTACATGGTTGACTGTGTACTTCTTGAGGACAGAAGCCGAGTTTATTCACCTATGCATTTGCCCTGGTTTCCAAAGAAGGGTCTCAATGAACGTTTGCTCCTGTCCCTGAAATAATTCAGCTAGATGACCTCAGAGATCCCTCATAGATCTAAAATCCTATGGTCCAGGTCTGCTCAAACCCAGTGGTATAACATCTGTCTCCCAACACCACTGCCATAATTCCCAGCTGTGCTTTTAACAGGACTAGTTTCAGGTAAGGGTCACACACTTTCTAAATTTTGATTTATGAAGTCTGTAAGATACAAACTTGTTAAATCCAAAATGTCTTCCTAGTGAAAAAGTGTATTTTCTGTGACGGAATATTGTGTTGGTTGCTGAATCTGACACACTAGAAGCCTGTTTGCTACAAAACTTGCCGCAGGCTGTTGATGTCAGCGAAGGTAGGAGTTTTAGGAGACATGGAGTAATTTTATGATGGCAACATGGAAGTAGAAGCGAGACATTTGGAGACTATTTCTTCTTGATGAAATGTTTATGTATACAGTCTTTCTTCTGCTTGAAAGGATTTCAACTACTTGGGGTCCACTTGGAATCCTACAAATAATGAGTCTCCATTGACCAAATATCTCTAAGCTAAATGCTAGTGCAGAAGTGACACTCACTGGCTTGGGAGAAGTGTGAACTTTATTGCATAAACATGTTGCTATGTTTCCAATTAGTGTCTGGTGAGTTCTCCCCCTACAGTCCCTTACTGCTTTGCTCATGTTTAAACTGCAGCAGCCTTCATGTAGCAGAAGGTGTTCCTCAGGTCTGTTCAGATCTGAATTAAAAGTTCAGCTGCCTGTACATAACTGATTTTCATAATTTGGTAGATGCTCTGTTGGAGAACAGGGAGCTTTCTCCTAGCTTTTGCTTTTCTATCACAACAGTGGGTTCTGCTAGAAATGTGATTTTCAGGAACTTGTTTTTCCTTCCATCAATACTGGAATGCAGAGTTTAAATGCTTCCTGAGCTTGTTCTCTTGGACATGTGTTCTGAGTGGGTGTGCTCTCTGAATGTTGAACAAAATATTGCTCAAAATACAAAGGGGCCTTCACAGAAGGCCAAAAAGACAACGATGCTCCTTCCTGGAGAAAACACAGGAGACAGGAAACTATAGAGGCCTCGGTGAGCCCACTGCAGTGCCTCATCTTGTCTGTTCACCTCCCTTTTCCATGGACAATCCAGTAGCATCACCATATCAAGGTGAAAGATGATCACAGTTGGTGAGTAGGTCTCCTGAGTCTAAAGCTGATGCCTGGGAAAGCCTGCCTTCAGTTGCCACTTGTCCTGCTTTTCTCTTTTGAAATCCCGGAGCTTGATTTTTGTAGGAAACAAGGGAGACCACGGGGAACATCCTGTCTGTCGGAGGACTACTGGGCGGCCTAACCGCCTGCTTGACTGCTGTTTCACTGGGGGAATGGAGAGGAGAGGGGAGGAGGCCTGTCTCCTTCATCGGCTCGCTGTGGTGCAGACACACCTGCTCCAGGCCCTGCTCTGAGCAGGCAGACCTTCGCAGTGACTGGGGCCTGAGGCTCGACCCCAGCACCAAAGACAGGAGGAACCAGCTGTGAACAAGGTCAGAGCCCACTAGCCATCCTTGTCTCTCTTTTCTGCTCACCCAGCACGTATCCCTCCCACCCAGCACCTCCTCCGTGTACTGTTCACCTGGGATCTGTCCCAGCTAACAAAAGGCCACACTTGCTGCCTGCAGCTCCTTCCTCTGATTCTCTTGTCTCTGCTGAGGTTGTAAAAGTGGATGTTGGCAACTCTTTGAAAGCACTTGTCTAAGGAGCCAAGGTCCACCTACTGCCCAGGAGCGGTGTACTCTCTGATGCCTCCTTCTCCTCAGGAGTTTGGATGCTAATGCTTCAGGCAAGAGGAGGGAACGCAGACTCCAAAACAGCCAACTGGATGACTGAATACATCACTTGACTATAGCCGGTGGAAATTTATACTCCAGGTTCCATCTATTACATCCTCTGATCCTGAAAAGCGGCT